CCCCCCCCCCCCCCCCCCAATTTTCCACTTTTTTACAAAACGGTATCAAGCCACCTTAAATGTTTGGAAATAGCACGTCGCACTGTTGAACTGCATCACTGTGTACTGAAATTAACGAGTAACTTTAGGATATACCATTAAGACATCAACACAATTACTCCTATAGTCTAATTCAATATGGCGAATTTACTGGGGAATGAAAGTAAAAAAGGAAACATGATTTGTAATTAATCAAGTAGGTAATTAGATATTTAGGATAGGGAATATAGGCACGTAATACAAGATTAAATATTATTTAAGCTTCAGCAATTAAAGAAACAAATTCAAAGTCAAGAAGCCGAAATTCAAAATCAAAAAAAGAAAATTCAAGCTCAAGAAAACAAAGCCATCATTCAAGAAAAGAAAATTCAAAGTCAAGCAAAGAAAATTAAAGATCAAGAAAACAAAGCCATCATTCAAGAAAAGAAAATTCAAAGTCAAGCAACGAAAATTAAAGATCAAGAAAACAAAACCAACATTCAAGAAAAGAAAATTCAAAGTCAAGAAAAGAGAATTCAAGAACAAGAAAACAAAACCATCATTCAAGAAAAGAAAATTGAAGGTCAAGAAAACAAAACCAACATTCAAGAAAACAAAATTCAAAGTCAAGAAAAGAGAATTCAAGAACAAGAAAACAAAACCATTATTCAAGAAAAGAAAATTGAAAGTCAAGAAAACAAAACTAACATTCAAGAAAAGGAAATTCAAAATCACGAAAATATGACTCGTAGGCTGGAAAAACAAAACCAAGGTAACAAAATAAAAGGATAATAAAAATGGTTAAGGTTATAGAAAGTCAAACATCCTTTTACTTATCGAAAACTTTACATTTTCGGTAAGTTAAAATCTCTAGTATGCATGACAAAAATTTTTAAAATAATTAAAATTAAATGAGTTATAACGGTAACGTTTTTCAAATTTCATAATCGTTTGGGAGATCGTTATTAATGACAACTGAAGGTCAGCATGTTAAGTTAAAGTGATTTAAAGTATCAAGTATTTTCTTCTACGTCTGCTTTGTGCAATGTTGTTTGTTGTTAAAAATTCATGTTCACAAGAATACAGACAAGCTGATAAAGATTAGGAAAAGTTCCGTGGACTCTCGCCAAACTCTAACACCAATTCACTTTCAATTTTATTATAAAACAAATATTAAAAAAAACAAGTTACACACTACACTAACCCGCAAGTAGTTAAAAACTAATCTAGGCGGGTATCGTGTTGAACGAATATACAGTAGCATCAAAAAGATTAATATGCATGCAGTATTTAAATGTATTGATGAACAGCAATTCTAATTGTTTGATTGTTTTACAAAATAGAGAGAAAAGGAAGAAAACAACAAGTAAATGTACTAGTAAATGTAAATGAATAATGATAAGCAATTGATAAATTAAACAGTGTTATTAATAGCCTAATGTGAACTTGTTGTTTTAGTTTCCAGTCGCAATTTTACTGAATGTGCATGGAAAACAATTTTATGTTTGTTGCCATATATGCCTTTTATGTCTGCGGCTCGCAAATTATTCTCGCGTTTTTGCTTGTATTAATATATAGAGGATATTAACACGGCGGAGCGAAGATGTGACTTTTTATCTTCGAGTGGTGAAAACAATATTTTACGAACGAGCGCAGCGAGTGAGTAAAATATCGTTTTTAACACGAGAAGATAAAAGTCATATCTTCAAGCCATCGTGTAATGTTCTGTTTATTATATAGTCCCAAGCAAAAAATTGTGAAATTTCACGCTCAAAAGCAAATTGGAAAAAGTCACGTAATCGATATCTTCACTAGTGAAGATATGGAAAATATCTCACTGTGTATTTTTCAGTATCTCACTCTCTACTATATAATGAATAGTAAATAAACTTCACAAAGACACTTCCTGGCTGGCAATAACAACTGCTTACTTCAAGCCTCGATTTCAAGTTATTGTTTCGTGTGCACTCAACCAAATTCGAGAAGTGTCTATTGATATCCACATCTACCCTTATGGACCCAGAAGAGTATTAGGCGTGCCCGTCTCAGAAATATTTTTGAGTTTAACAGCTTTCATGATCAATACAAACGAAAAATTATTATATTTTTCAGATATTGTGAAGCGTATTAACAGGTTACATCCACTACCGTCTTGTTCAGCTTTGGTAATAAAACATTCTTCAACACGCAGTGGAATGTATTATATCAATCCTCAAGGACTCAGTTCATCGCCATTGGTTCAAGTATACTGCGATATGACGTCAAAGAATGGTGTTGGTGTGACTGTGATTGGATATGACAGTGAATCAAGAACACTTGTGAATGGATATGAATCTGCAGGATCTTACAAACGAAAGATTAAATATGATATTTCCATGGAACAGATCGTTGCCATTATGAATCAGTCCAAGAATTGTGAGCAATTTATAAAATATGAATGTTATGACAGCGTTATGACATGGAAAAGTAACACTATTGCTTGGTGGGTATCACGTCAAGGTTGGAAGATGAATTACTGGGGCGGGGCGGCAGTCAACAGTGGAAAATGTGCATGTGGAATGACCAACAGCTGTGCAGGTGGAGGAACATGTAATTGCGACAAGAATGATTTCGCATGGCGTGAAGACAGTGGATATCTGACTGACAAGAACACACTGCCTGTTACTGAGCTGAGATTTGGAGATACCGGTCACCCTATCGAGAAAGGATACTACACACTGGGAAGTTTGCGATGTTGGGGTTAGAATAGAATTGCGGATTTTGATGGATAATGGTCATAACACATAAACCGCATGACGTTATCACTTAGCAAAACATACGATAAGTAATAAAGAACGCGTCTTTAGTAAAAGTGTCAATCACAAACTTATAGGACATAATTATCACTAACAATATCCGCACTGTTGGTGGCTACCTGACTATTCACTTCGCGTTACATATTAAAAGTCAATATGGAGCTTCTTATAGCTTTATATATATATGGCTTAAAAAATTCATTAATAATTCACGAGGAAAATACAAAAGAAATGAATGTTTAATCAATGTTTGTAAATCGGATAAAGATTTGTCATGATTTACATAAACTTTAGCTTTGATTTTCTCGGCTTAGACAATGTTTATTTTTAAAATTACTTCGCCAATGAACTCATAAGATGGGTCATTTTTCAGATACAGATCGGCTGCTCATGTTTTATCTAGTACTTACAGGTAAACTACGTGAAGCCTTCCTCTTTTGAGTTTCTAAATTGATTGCAATTTTCTTCATTACCTTTGCAATTTAAAAAACTCCCTTGCAAATCCCTTGAAGGAATTTGCAATGTTGCTAAAAGCCAATTAAATTTTCCTCAGTTCCTGTTAGAAGTTCTTAACTTCCTGTTACAAGTTCCTAACTTCCTGTTCTGTTCTGCGCGTTGCAATTGGCTAACAAAAATAATCGACCAATAACAACGCTCAGAACAGACAGGAAGTTAGGAAATTAAAACAGGAAGTTAGGATATCTAATATAATACAAAACATAATCCGAAGATAAGCATCTTGAAACCCAAAATATGAGTCAAACAAGAAAGTGAGTGAGTAATATTTCGATTTTATTACAAAATCATCATCAGACTAACTAAAGTTACAATATACACATGGTCTTATATACAAGTTGGCAAGGCAGATGACAGCTTAACGTTTTGATTTCGTCGGATAACACTGATGTTTACTACAAAAGTACGCACACTGGACAATACACACATTTTTCTAGTTTTGAACCATTTTCACGTAAAACTGCGTGGGTTAAATCTTTGTTTCACCGAGCATCAAAATTATGCAGTACCAGTCAACTATTTGATAACCAAGTTCGGAAGCTTAAAATGTTTATGTCTTGGAATGGCTTTCCTCGTGCGATCAGGAATTTATTGATATCCAAACTAAAAAACAAATTTTCTGCGGATCGACCTCGCACTAACTTTTTTGATGAAAACGACACTAGGCCTAAGGTTTGGGTTCGCGTTCCATACCTTGGTAAACAAGGTGAAACTTTAGTTAAAAGTTGCATAAAGAAAATACAAAGATGCCTAACTGTTCCTGTAAATTTTATAGTTGTTTATGACAACAAAAAGTTTTCTTATTTCCTTTCCAACAAAGACAAAATTCCGAATCTTTCGAAATCCAATGTAGTTTATGAGGTGACATGTCCTGGCTGTTCCGCAACGTATATTGGGAAAACAGAAAGACGTTTACAGACGCGACTTGCTGAACATACCAATCCGACCAAAAGTGCTATTGGACAGCATTTTCACAACTGCGAACATGTGCAATACATTGTAAACCTTCACTTTGTTTTTGACAAACTTAACAACCCAACTGACGCTGACAATAACGTTTCCACTTTTATTTCCAACTTAATATCTGACAACTCTCGAATTCTTCACACTATTTATTCTCGCACACCTAACTTACTCTTGTTGCTTGAAGCTCTATATATCAAGTATCATTCACCCAGTTTAAACACTGGACTCAAAGCCAGCAAAGAACTCAAGCTTTTTTCTTAATCTATACACCCACATTTCATCACACTTACATCTCACTGCAACTGTCGTGGTTCTGATTGAGACTTCCGTTAAGCTGTCATCATGCCTTGCCAACTTGTATATAAGACCATGTGTATATTGTAACTTTAGTTAGTCTGATGATGATTTTGTAATAAAATCGAAATATTACTCACTCACTTTCTTGTTTGACTCATATTTTGGGTTTCAAGATGCTTATCTTCGGATTATGTTTTGTATTATATTTTTTGAAATTGTCGGCTGGTATTGGTTTTTAGGAAATTTAAAATGAAGTTTTTTTGCATTGGAATATTGCAACAGCCGATAGGAACGTTGCAAATTCCCTCGAAGGATTTGCAAAGAGTTTTTCAAATTTGCTAAGCTAATGAGGAAAATTCCAAATGAGTTACGAAGTCAAAAGAGGAATGCTTCACGTAGTTTACCTGTAAAAATAGGAAATCTTTCATGTTTTATGTTTTAGGAAAAATAAGAAATCTGTTTTAAGTAGAATGAATGAAAAATATTGCACTAGAATCTAAATTTAGAAGAATAAAAGTTGATAATCAGAATATTGTTTTAACTCATTCCTTTATTTGGGGTTGCAAAAAATGGTAACCTATAAGCATTAAGAAATTAATGCTCTCTCCATGGCTACAGGACTGTTTACCGGAATAGAGTGAGGTTCCCTTATTTGGTATTCCTGAAAACGTTATGCCGAAACAAGTTGATAGACACTTGAAACACAATGCGAAATAGGTGCTTTACTCACTCATTTATTTTGAATGGCAAAACATTTTAATGCAAGTTTATAACTGGGCACGTAATTACATTACTTGGCACTGGCTACGATGGCTGATCTTAACCAATGAGAATTAGGTAACTGTTTTTTCATGTATATATTATTAGGGAAATAAACCTTTCGTGTTGCTTAAATTATTCAGTAAAACATACATGGGTATCGCATCTGACACTTGTACCAATAAATAATAAATAATAAAGAATAATGTAGTAATAAATTTATTAATAAAATCATAATAATAATAATTAGTAATAATAATAACATAGTAATAAATTTACGTGGTGTTTCCAAACAAAAAGTATTATAAGAATAAAGCAACAACACGTACAACTAGTTACTCCTAATCCATTTCAATATGTCGGATTTACTAGGGAAACTAGCAGCTAATTAGAGAATGCACATTTATACTACTGTATATAAGTAATTACACAAAAATAACCCTGGGTTATTTAGCCACCTAGCATGGTTAAATTAAGTAGGAAATCCTGGTCTAATCAACCAAACTGTAGTCAGATAAAGGTTAAAATAATCAGGGAATTTCACCAGGAATATTAAATTAACCCAAATAGGGTTTAATTTCTTATTTCTTTATTTTTTTTAGGGTTAACCGGATCAGTGTCTTTAGACTGCATCTAAGCATCTTTATAGTAGAAAACCTTGTCTTGATCAACCTTTTCACTGTAGAAGACATGATGTCATTGGGTTATTCCAGAAAACATCCATACCTCCCCAGAGGAAGTTTGAAGTTACAGTAACCCCCCAACCACCTTCAATCCGATGTCATAATACACTTACTATTATCATCCCGCAATTTCCTCCATGGAAGGGGTGTGGATATTTTTCGGAACAACCCATTAGATGAAGCGAGTTTATTAGCAAAAAACAAAGGAAAACTAATTTGCAATCACTACTGTGACATATTCAAAGTTAGTACTATGTCTTCACATAGTTGATATAATACAAAAATGTTGCAGCAGAATATTGTTTCGTGTTCTTTCTTATTTGTGTTTTCAGAAAATGCTAACTTGAGATTATTAAGAAGTGAGCTTTCCTCAGAACAGATCTATATAGCTTAAACCCCTTAGTGGCAGTTTACAAATCTATAGTTTACACCTTTTATAGCTTATATTCTAAACCTAATGTCTAATGTTGACCCAGTCTTTTTATTCTTATTCGTGAGATTGTTTTTCTGTGTGTCTGCATGCAAGTCATGCATACGATATCGACATATCCAACCGCGCAAGCAGATGAGCTAGGGTTTCGAAGGTTGCGGGTTGAATCCCCCACTCGGGTAATCCCTCTTCCCAACTTCGATTTATCAATTTACTTGCATGGAAATTAACGTGCAATGCTACGTCACAAATGTGGCTGAATAACAATGACCCAGCTTGTGAGTGCGCTGAAAAACGTTTGGAAGTGGACCAGAGCAACTCTTCCTGGTTATTCTATAGCATGAGTTGACTACTGAGAATGATCTTTTTCGAATTGCCAAAATAAATCTGTAATAATCCATCATGTTACGTTATCTTGCACGATCTTACTAAACGTCCAGAACTTGGCCATACAGAATTGTATGTTGTGTGGATAATGTCGAATTATAAATGAAATTTGACATCTGAAGTGTATTTACCTGTATGAATAATTTTCTTCTATAAGAAGCTGATTTTGAAGGATTAATTCATTTGAAATTCATCAAACATCAAACTACACAAAAGGAGTGATTTCGAAATTAAAACTCGGTCAAATGAAGATAAGAGTTGATGACTGGGGTTGACAAGCGAGAGTTTCCATCAGAGTTTTCTCAACTCTCATGCCCCGCTCAAACAAGAACAAGAGTCACATGAGAGTTGACCAGAGATTACCAGTCAAACGAGTCAATGCTCACATTAACTCTCATCAAAATTTCAACCATCTCAAAGTTGATGAGAGAAGATGAGACTTGGCAGTCAAACGAGTTGCAACTCTCATCCTCGCTTGACTATAGCGCTTGATAAACCCAAGATATATTTATCATATCGTAAAAATTGATTAACGGTTTTTCGTACTTGGTTTTGAAATACTGTAGAAAACAATGTCAGTAAATCAAAAACGACGGTATAGCTAGCATTTCATGTAATATTGATGAAACTACATTTAAACCAATATAACTCTTATTTTTTGCTGATTTAGGAAACCAATAATGAACATCCATGCAAATGAGATAACATACTGTAGTCTGCAATTAAATCATGCTTGGTCAGGGCCGGCGGTGTAATTAACACTCCCCCCCCCCCTCCCCTAAGTCATCAGGTAGTCGGCAAAAATATTGAATCCCAGTCGGAAAACATGGATTTGGATAGGAAGGAAAAAACGAAAATGGTCGAGCGGAACCGATTAAAAATTAAGAATGATAGCTAAAATGTGGAGAAATTTACGAAAACTAAATTAGGGGAAAATGGAGCGAAGAAAGGTGGTTAAACACAAAATAAGATTGAAAAATATGTGGTACGGAAAAATTTGTGACTTGGCAAAATTTCCCTTGATAACTCGGCAAAATTCACTTACACCCCCCCCCAATTCAAAGAGGTCTATCGCCGCCCCTGCATGTGCATGGTTTTTGTCAAAACTTCTTTTTTTGACCAGTTGTCAAGAGGAGTGAACACAATAGGTACATGCATTCATTACGTCTCAAAAAGCTGAAGAAAGAAGACAGAACTTGCTTGGAGAAGAAATTTATACAAAATGATGTCTGCGAAGATTCTGTGGAAAATCCTGATTTTGACATGGCTGAGTTTGGCTTTTGGTTTATCGCAAAGCGACAAGGTATTTTTCAAAATTTAAGCCCATGCAGGTACTCTAGTGCTGCGCATGTATATTATACGATTGTAAATTGTATGCATGCATGGCACGCGATTTCTATAGTAAATATATCTCATTTCTTAACATGCATGCGATCGCATCTTTGCAATTGCTTATGCTATTTAACTGTTTTGGTGATGCGGAAGCAATTTTATATAGGCATATGATTTCATTTATATCATCAGCTGAAACCGAGAACTGTCCATGGGATCGATCATCTCCCAAACATATACGTGTCGCATAACTATCCTTCAGATGCATGTGTGTTAATCAAGAAAGCGAAGCGTATATAACAGATAAAAAAAACTTTGAAAATGATTTATACACAGGGTGTCCCAAAAATTCCACCCGAACTGAAGAACGTCTCTAAAAGTATGAGAGCATATAGTAAAACCCGCGCATAAATTTAAAAAACCCACTATTTTTTATGTCAGGCTATTTTTGTACCTAGAGTCGGTTCGTAACGTACTGTTCCTTTATATTTTTATTAAAACAGTCATTAATATTCACTATACTCGTTAGGCAATTTGTCCAATAACGTCATGATCATATTTGACCATGCATGTACACGGACTTTATACCTGATAAAATATATTCTACTTAATAGCTGTATGGACAATATATACAAGGTCCACATAAGATGAATGAGAAAGATATCGCTCAAATACATACGAAATTTTGTCGAGAACTGCTAAATGTCTAACGGTTTAAGATCCAAAATTCGTTAGTTCTGAAAAGAACTGTACAATGCACATTATTATTAACACAGCTAGCAAACGTAAAACTACTTGAATTACGCATCTATTACTTTGGAAACGTTAGCTCAAAATGCCTAACCTTAATTCCTCTTTTCGCTTCATCATTAACAACACTTTTGCCATGAACATTTCCCTTGAACGATCGAAATATTGTGCATGCAGAAAATCTTGTATCTGTGTTGAGCTTTGAACAATTGAACCACAAGAGTCAAAGACCGGTGACCACGACTAATTTGCATGCTCAACCCGAGTGCGTAAGTGTTTGCTATTGTTGGTTTCATTGCACATCGTTTGGCAGCTATAATTCAACAGTATTCTGCAGACAATACATAACAATGCTCGTGCAAGTCACTCTATTGTAGTCGTGTTTTAAGCCATTTAAAACACTTGTGGTCGTGTTTTGCCATATTTAAAATGCTCGTGATGAGCTGCACTCGAATTTTAAATATGAGAAAACACTCCTATACCTGTAGTATATACGCGTGTTTTAAATATAGTACGTCGAAAGTAATCGACTTGTTCCTATATAGTTTGGTGTTTTAAATTATTTGTTTCCTTATATAATTTGTAAAACTGTTTATCAGAATTACACGTCTATAATAATTGCTATTAAAACTTTCTGCGTTTCCTCATTAGTATATACCCAACAACAGATTACATGCTTTCATTTGCAATGGAATTAGATCAAGCATTATGCAACTGCGAATACCGGTCCGCCAGCATGCCCTTACTTGGAACATGCATTCCAGATGATTTTGAATGTCTCATTCGTCAGCCTCAGAAGAGTGAAGTGGTTGTTGTATTTTGAATGCTTAATTTCCTAAATTTCTGGCTGCTGGTTCTTAACCAAATTGCTTGTTTAGGCGGATTTTTACTGCACGTAAATGCGGGCAGAAGAGAACACATATATGTGGCTTTTTGAAATACCGCAAGGGTTTATGTACTGTAGGCTGTAGCAGTATAGGTATAAGCTATAGCTTAATTAGTATTAGATTTAATCCATGCATCTGGTCCATTCTAATTTGATGCCTAGTAAAAATCTGTAACTCGTATCAATGCCAACATAATTTAGTGACACCACAAAACATAGTGGGGGCATCCCTTTGGACATCCTGTATATAGTCTAGGACCTGTATATGAGTTTGTATGCATTTAATTTAGGACAGATAATCTCAACTGTTTTAGGGTAAGTTGACCATGACGGTCAACATGGTAACGCTGCCCGAACCCCAATCTGACCACACCCAAAAACGACGCCTTCGCCATACTGCTATCTACCAAACCATAAAAGCTTTGGCTATTCTGGGGTGCTTATATGGTTCAGAGATGGTACTTTTGGGGGTGGTCATTGGTAAGTGTGAAATGCCTAGCACTAATATTTCACAAGAAAATAGCCATGCAATAATCATAGTTAAACGTCAATTTGTGGCTTGCAAATTCAGATAAACAGCAGTGGACTGATATTACCTTTTTCTCTAAATCTTTTTGATAGAAACATAAATGGTACTTATTTAAATATATTATCACTGGTTTGGTGTAAAATAGTTAATATTTTCTGACCGAAATAATAATTCGAAATGTGCCTACCTCCTGCAAATGGACGTATTTGGCCAAGTTCTCCACTTTACTCCGCTGTTTATCGGCGATCTCGTCGACATCCTACAAAAATGTAAATCATCTCAGACATAATGGTATCAAGAACATTTTAAACAAGTTTCAACTTGGTTTCAAGTAGATCATACCTGTTTAACCATCGACAAGGTAAATCCACAACTTTGTCCAAATTCGGCGCCATTTTGTCATCCCATGTCGCTTGTTAACAATTCAGCCTTATTACTCTTCCATCCAAGCCATTTCCATTCCACTAATAATAAATTTAACCCTTTATAACAGGAGGAAACTAAAAATCTAAACAAAATATAAGAAATACGCCATTTTATCACCATGTAAAATTTTGCTCACGAGTCTTTCAAAACATTCCGTACAAATATCGCGTGACAAAGTAACAGGGACGTGACAGGAGGGGGTGAATTATTTCACGAAGACAGAAGAAGGCTGCGTGAAATAGACTAAAAGCTAAATACAATCATACAAATGTTTGTTTTATTTCTTGTGGAGACAAATATATACATATTATTATTTATTAATATGAAAAAGTCATACAAATTAAATGTTGATTGTTAGTTTGACCATACTGTGTGGGCTTTCCTTTCATTTTTCAAGTCTCTACCCCCCTGTCACGTCCCTGTTGCTAAACCACGCGAGATTTGTACGGAATGTTTTGAAGGACTCGTAAACAACATTTTACAGGGTAATAAAATGGCGTATTTCTTGTATTTTGTTTAGATTTTTTAGTTCCTCCTGTTATAAAGGGTTAAATTTATTATTAGTGGAATGGAAATGGCTTGGATGGAAGAGTAACAAGGCTGAATTGTTAACAAGCGAAGGCCCGAGGGAATTTTACTAAATGACCCGAATCGAGCGGCGCCCAAGGGAATTTTACTAAACGACCCTCATCGGGCGGGACGTTTCAATAGCTAATTCGCTTCTTTTTATGCTATTACCTTATAATATCATGATTGCGGGTATTCCCGTTGTTCTGGCAGGGCCATTAAAAACCAATTAAAAATAAATATTGGTATAAATTAAATGGTATAATTGTTTTCCCTGTCTTTGTTTAGTTTTGGCGATTTCAGATATCTTCATTTATATTCATTTTTTCTAATCATACCCGCTTTGACGTCGTTTCGGGTAGGATTAGAACTAATTCTACCTGACATGACGTAAAAGCGGGTAGGATTAGAAAAAATGAATATAATGAGGTGTATTAGTTATTAATTGCCCTGCGAGAACAAAGGGAATACCTGCAATCATGATATTATTATAAGTAATACCATAGTTTTTAAGAATATAGTGATTAAATCTCCCGCAAAGCGAGGGAGGTTTGTGAAAGTCCCGAGGGAAAGCCTGAGGGCGAAGCCCGAAGGCGTCCCGAGGGACTTTCACAAACCTCCTCAGTTCGCGGGAGATTTAATCACTATATTCTTAAAAAACCATGGTATTAGTTTGTAATACCATGATGATGACCGAGGTGAGGCTAGTGTTTTCGTTGTGCAAAATTAATTGATAGTACGAGTATTGTGTAATACAATGCATGATCAGTGATGTATACAACAATTTTCCATTGTGGGAAATTCGTTTGCGAATAAACAATTCTTAATATACGTGTGTCAGTGCCGGGTGCATGTGCATGTATATGCATATAAAATGAGTTATTTTTTAACTCAACACAAGTCTTGTTTTTGGACGCTCACTAAGAATGATATGGCGGTAAACGTTTCTGGTTTGTTATGGAAGCCGATGTTCAGAAATTTAGAAATAACAGAACGCCTGAGGATACTATCAAACACACTAGGTGGAGTACGAATGTTTATAAAGCATGGACAAAGACAAGAAATACCGAGTTTCGTGATTTTGAAGCCGAGAGTGAAGTATTCAAGCATGTGCCAGATTTGCAGGAGATGAGCGTTGACGAAATTAATCACTGGTTTAGCCGATTAACGCTAGAACTATGGAAGAGAAACGGTAAAGAATACCGCCATGAAGTCGTGTGTAGTCTGTTTTGTGGTTTAAACCGAACAGTCCAGTTGCAATATCCAAAGTTAAACCTGTTTAATTCGGCTGAGTTTAAGCCGCTTCAGCAAACGCTCGATGGGAAGCTGAAAGAACTACAGAGCACCCAAAGCCCAATGAAAAAGAGAGCAGATGCAGTGACGGTAGCGATGAAAGGGTATAGATTTGAGCGCACTACTACAAGGAGCTAATTATGGAACTGTGAACATCAACATTAGTATGAGTAAATAAATTATTGTCTTTATAATATAGTTGTGTGAAATGTTTAGTGAAAAGTGAATATTAATAAGTCGAGTAATTAACACTTTATCTTACTGTAATTAACATTGTAGTTAATTATTTTGTTTGTGGTGTAAAAGCTATTAAGAAAACTCTTTGTCGTGTCTTTGAATTTTGGCTCATGACTTTTAATCAGGGAGAAATAAGAAATCTTCCCGGCTTTGCCGGGAGAATTAGATATCTCCCCGCTAAGCCGGGAATATCGAGATTAAACCACCAGGCGAGAACAAAAGAACCCGAGGTCATCATGCTATTACTATTATAAATAATACTATGACCAAAATGAAATGGTCCCCATTTGACTTC